GCTGATAGTGTTTTGGCGTATCCTTTAAGCTTCCTTAGCTTTTCCAGTTTTACTCATCACCATTATACCATAGGCACAAATACATATACACACACAAACACTGACACACATGCAGATATTCATCTTCATATCTACACACCAAGACAAATACACATACATATAAAAAAAATTTATATATAAGCACAGACAGACACATGCATACATGCACACGAATAGATATAAATATTCACGCAAACAATTTACATCAGATCACATCAAACCTTCCCTAACACATAAATCCACATTTAAACCCAGAAGGATATGAGTCAACATCCAGCAAATCAGTTATCCAAATTTTGAAAATCTGTTTCCTTAACTGCTTACTTTTACCTCTTCTGTTTCCATTCACAACCTATATAGTGCTCTAAACATTTGTTTATTATTTCATTTGCATCAACTTTAACTCGCTCTGTCTTTTTTAGAGGGATGGTGGGGGAGGAGGGAACGGGAAAACGATTTTGGATAAATTTTCTTCTTTTCCACTTTCTTCCCCCACCTTCTTGTTTTAACTTCCTTTTTTTTTCTTTTTCTTCTTTTTTTTTTTTTTTTTTATGCTTCTCTGCGAAACTCCTTCTGTTCGCTTTCTTCGTTTCCTTCAAAGAAGGAGATTGTTGAACAACAACGGAATCACGCGAAATCTGATCTTTGAGCAACAGCCAGAATGAGTGATGAATGTCCTAAAAGTGTGGTTGGTAAGGTTCAAAACAGAACTCGGGCGAAAAAAAAAAAAGAATATTTTCCTTTCTTCCTTTTTCTTCTTCGTTCTTTCAATAAAAATCGATTTGTATGAAAAGTTGAGTAAAAAAAAAATTTTTTTAAATTAAAACTACATTTTTAGTTTTTATTTTTAGTTTTATTTTTTTTCTTCCACCTAATCGGTTTTTTTCTCTTTTCTTCTACATACACTTTTTTATTTTGCTTTCTTTTTTTTTTTATTCTTATTAATCCTTTCTCATTTTTTTTTGTCTACCTCTTTCCATTAACGCGTTATAATACATAATACAGATACGTATTTATTAGTAAAAGAAGAGGGATAGGTAGAGAAAGACTCTTTTTTCTTAAGTATCAATAGTAATCCATACAAGCGACCCAACAACCAGTATCAGCAACAGCAATAACGACAACCGCAACCACAACAGCAGCTCACCGATAGCAGCAACAGCAGCCATACGAATAGCTCGGAACACACAGACAGCATAGACACACTCCAACACCGACAAACACACAGACAACCTGATACAGACATAAATATACACAGAAAGAAACATATCCACAAATACATATAAATGAAATATATATATATATATAT